ATTTTTAAATTCACTATACAACTTCCGGTATACGAAACAATTTATCGTCGTTATCAAAAGTCTCTTGGTAACATTTTTAACAAATGATTTTAAAGAAACGAGAATTATTGGAATAAACGCATATCGATGGTCCTCTGCAATAACGACACAATTCAAAATTCAAAAAATTAAAACTATTACTACTGTTATGTGGCTCTTGTCTCTAATTCTTGTCTAATCTATTTCCAACCCTAGCTAAAGTTAGCAGTAAGGATTGCTAAAGTAAATAGTAAAGATTAGCCATGGATTAGATATATGAGCCACTTAACAGTAGAAAGGTTTTTTTTTTAATCTTGAATTGTGTCGTTATTGCACAGGACGATCGATATGTTGAAAACGCTTGAAACATTTCCGAACTTTAAAAGATTTGATTTTAACTTAAAATTTTAATAGTTGCGATCCCAAGGCGAATTTATACAGGGTGGTGTTCAAGGCGAAACTAAACAAGGCAAGGCGAATCTATACAAGGTGGCAAGGCGAATTTATACAAGGTGGTGTTGATGGCGAATTTAGATTTTACGGCGAATTTGTACCTTTTGTCAAAATAATGTTTTTGTTGTAATTTTGCTTTGAAGTGATTTTGGATGTGCGTATAATTTGTTGCTGTAATTTTTGTTTTTGTTCTGTCAACGCCACCTCGTATAAATTCACCTTGGCGGTGGTACTGGCGAATCTAGATTTTTGCCGCAGTCCTTCTGAATGTCAAAATCAAGGCGAATTTATACAAGGTGGTGTTACTTGCGAATTTAGATTTTCGTACTCAGTTCTCTGAGAGAGGTGCTGCTGAATGTCAAAATTATGTGTTTGTTGTAATATGAATTCGCCTTGTTTACAACAAACATCATTTTGACATTAAGAAGTACCGCGGCGAAAATCTAAATTCACCATTAACACCACCTTGTAAAAATTCGCCTTAGGCTGGTTGCTTTTTGCTCGGATAATTACAAGGCGAATCTATATAATCTATAAATCGCCTTGGATAATTATCTATTATCTAATTTTATCTGCTTTTGTGCGTAGATATCGTATGATCAGATTAGAGATGAGCAATTTGCTAAGAAAGTAATCGAAATCGCCACGTCCAAAAAATTCCATCTTTCGTCCATATAAATCGATACAATTTTTAACATTTTGTATCGTCTATTTAACAATTTATTAACAGTTTTTTTTTGTAA